AGAGACTGAATTTGGGGGGATTGTATTATTGCCATACTGCTATAAAAAATACTCGCTAGCTGGCTAGGACAACAGGATGAGGAATATTTATAGACTGGGGTGTCAACGGTTGATAGTTTACTGCAATTCCCAAAACAAGCCCATTATTACCCTATGCGACCCTATGATCAGTTTTGTTACTAACTATAACAGGCAGCTGTCAGGTCCTGTAACCATATCACCCTACAAACAACCTAGCCTACATTAGTGCTTCTTTCTACCACAAATAGATGAAATTTGCACTGTGTGACCTGCGAGGGTCGGTTGGCTCGCTTTTAGAACCAAATTTGGGTTGCAAAGAATGCCAACGTGGGCCATGATTGTTACACCCTTTAAATATTGCGAGCCTAGCCCTCTGGAGATTTTTTTCTCTTTGCTATATTCTCTTCCGGAAAATTGAAAATGAATCGTTATTCTCCTTAATGGCTGCCTTCTATTTCTGAAGAAATAAGCCTAGTAGACTACAAGGTCTTTCGTAATAGGAGAAGCTCCTTGATGATTGAAAGACTTCAATCCCGTCTTTAGTTTGTGAAATATCTCTTACCAGATTTCAAAACTTAGTTGGAGTAATATGTGTATAAGATAAGTTATTTTAAAGCTAAATTATAATAGTATAAAGAGAGCAAATAAATTTTTTTAAAATTTTATAAGAGAATAAATGGTATCTTTAGTTTGATGAAGAATGTAATCATAGAATTAATAGTAAATCTATATAAAGCCAAGTGTTGATACTTAAGTTTATAGGACTTTAATTTAGATAAAGCCTTGAAAGACAACCTTTAGAGTTTTAAGATAATTGGCTTTCGCGATATACTTAAGTCGAAGATGGTATATTATGATATGGGGCTCTTTAATATATAGTTTTACGAATATCATATTCTAGAGATTTATTATATATGTCTTAATTCTTGTTGATATCAAGCTTTCTAAATAAAATAATTAATTTTCCTACCTATTTGGTCATGTCTGACCATGTAGATCTGCTATCTATCTATGCACTTAGCGATCATATGACTCCCAAATATCTCTGCTCTTTATATACATAGCCAGGCTCTCGATTCTTTCCATTATAGTCTTTTCAAGTCTGACCATATGTCCTAGTAGGCTCTCCAATATGTCTATACTATCTAGGCCACGACTAATTTTGTTTTCAAATTGTTTAGCCAAGTCCAAAAACGTGTTAATTCGTTAGGATAGACTAGCAGTTAAAGTGTTTAAATTATTTACTAAGATTTTTAAGCTTTTAATATCTATATTTATTTTATTTAAATACCTAAGAGTATAGATTAGAGTATTTATTGAAGTGTTAAGAGAATTGATAACTGAGATAGCGTTACTAGTAGATCTAAGTAGGCTGTTGATACTTAATATAGACGTTCTTAGATCTCGCAAACTATGGTTGATCTTAGTATCTAGATATTTAGGGCTATCTCAAATATAGAAAGTATACTTTTTTGTATTGACCAAGATATCGAGATTAATAAACCCGGTGTTATAATTATTTACATTGTGTAGTAGAGACTCTATTAAGTCTTCGTCTATGTGGATGTCTTGATAAAAAGGATGGTTAGATAGGGTGTTATTAGACGTATCATTGTATCAGGTCACGTCAGATATGTTGTAATTGGTGTTGGCTATTGAACAGGAAAAGGGTATGGCTTAATGTGGTACCTATAAGAGGTTCTTATAAAATCTAGCTTTGACATGGGGTCTATCTACTAGCCATATTATGTTAATCACTCTTACTACTCCTGTTCTCTTTTACCCTGCTTCTATGCTTATCATTTTTGATGGCGCTTATATAGGAAAGGGCCAAGTGAGACATTGTGCAGGTCTACAGAAGTAGGTTGTTGGTTTTTATCCCTTAGCCATTAGATGTGGTTATCAAGGGAAATGAGAACTAAAGTACTTATTATCTTCAATCACCTTATATAAATTAATTTTCGAATACTTGCTTTTGAGGGATACTGTTTAGAGTGTTCTAGAGCGTTTTCCTAATAGCTAAGAAGGTAAGAAACGGAGATATAACCTTTATAATTCTTTCAGATAAAACAACCTTAGTTGGCTAAACAGAGTAAATCAAAAAAATAAGAAAAAATCTAGTTCAATAGTATTAGCTATTATATTATAATTTCTATATATAAATAAGAGAATCCTTTTTAATTCTTTTGAAATCTATTTATTATCTACTATATTGTAAAAAGAGCATATTGGGTGGCTAGATATTAGAAGATAGGAGAATTCTAGACTTGCTATTATTGATAGTGAACGGCTGAAGAACATTGTTTCCTAATTGAACAATCTGAAAGAAAAGTATCTATCTGTCTATATGTATATAGGTGGCTATTATAAAGATCACGTTCTCTAGAAAATTTACCTTTAGAATAATATTAAGCGCCATGTTTCGAGCTATAAGATAAGGATGAGGAATGACGTTGCTTCTTTAGGCTGCCGACAGCTAATTTTCTTTATAGATAGGGATATTGGTTAAAATGATTGGAAATCACCGTTGAAACGGCTAAGCGTTGGGGTAGGTCATCTTATCTTTTAGGAATATGGCTTAGCTTAGGATCTATTGCTTGTGTTGTAGGCGCGGTTAGTATTTTTATTTATAGACGTTATTTGTATATTTCTAAATGACTTCTCTGATCATGAAAAAGTCTTAGAGCTATTAACTACATTCTTAAACACTAGATCCATCTACTCCCTTTTAGCTAGACTTTTATCATGACTTATTTTAATATCTAAAGGAGAATGGGATAATGGTAGAGGCAATGTCCTAGTAATCATGTTATACAAGATGCTTTATAAGCTGGAATTTACTAGTGTTTATAAATCCTTTGTGGAGATTATAATAATATATCTTGAATTAATAGCACTATCTTATATCGCATATTGCGAGTTATTAAGAGCTTTTGTAAGGCGGGAGCTAGATGTAACAAGGTTCGTGTGAGAAAAATAGTGAGTCCGGCTTAATATCGAGTAGATAGTGGATCTATTCTAGGCTATATTTTAGTAGTTCTTGGTAAATCTTTTAATCCTATTTAATTTAATCTAGGCTATTAAAACAATCTATATAGTAAATCTTTATATAAAACTTAATGTCGTTTACTATCTCGATATTTATATAAAGGCTAGAGTATATGGGCCGCAAGTTATATCAATAATTACCTTTGCTGTGTTGATAGATAATTATGTTTCTAGGATACTAAGTTAGATTATTCTTCGTTGTATATTTCCTCTGAGTGATAAATTTAATAAAATCTAGTGTTAGATCTATATATAGTTTTTTAGACCTTATATCAATTAGCGATTATAGAAGCTTACTATAAGTATATATACTATTGGCTAGATCAACTGTTTAAAGATCAAGCTAGTGAAGTGGAGACGTATTTTATTAATTTATTTAACGTACTTATATAAATTAATTAGACAGTAGTCGAGCTTTATAAAAGCTAACTCGTATCTTAAAGTGGTTGGTTATATTGAATATGGAGTAACGCTATCTATATATACTATGTATTTTAAACTGTGCAGTATGTTCTTGGCTATGGATATATCCTATATGACTGCTGCGCGCATGTTTTCGGTATATTAACTATTAGACTGGAATATTAATTTATAATCTGAGATTGTATTTATTGCCTTTACTAAAGGCCCTTAGTTGCAAGTATATTAGTACTAATAATGAGCCCTTCTATATTAGTGATTAATAGAGGAGATATTAGAGATGTTATTTTACTACAGTTTCTCCTCCTCCTCCAGGAATATTTATATCTATATTGAATCTAGGATATCATGGACCTTATACTTAGCACAAGTTTAGATAGGTTTTTTCTTGGTTAAGGAAGTTTTTTTCTATTGTCTTTAAGCCACAAAATTAACTAACTAACTAACATAGGCGATCTTATTATTATTAGTCTATTTATAATATTATAGAATATTTCTATATACTCAGAGATATTTAAGAAGCTAGTGTAGTGGATTTTTCGCTCAAGGTGTTGGTCGCTTTTTATACTACTTAATTTCATATACCAGAATAACTTGATATTTGGAACCATAGACTAATAACTTCATTAGCTACTTTATAATAGTTGTTATAATACTCGAGTTTTTAATAATACCCTTAAAAGTATATTTAGCAAGAACTGTCTCATATTTAGCCTTAGCTAAGACAATCTGCGTGGAAGTCTCTAATCAAACTCTAAAATTGGAGTTGTGACTATTAATATATCTAGGAAAACAAGAGCATTTATGATTAGGAATTTTAATATCATTAGCGAACTAGAGAATCAAAAGAGTTAGTATAAATGTCAATCATCCTTTCACTCGTATCTATCTTAATGTCTCACAGATATCCAAATCCTCTAACTAATTAATATTGTATATGAGCTAAATATATAGAAAGCGTATAGAATTAAAACCCATCTTATATCACTATATAATATTAATGTAGCCTTGGATTCTAGTGCTAAAATAACTACTACTATCCCTTTATAAGTAATCGTAACCATATTGGCTCACAACAATATATATTAACCTTCTAGTCTAAGTATCTAGGCTAACTATTTTCACGCTTTAATTTAGTTATTAGCTTTTTTATCCCTGCTGATCTACTAGGAATTGGATCCTTCTAGGACAAAGGACTAAAATATAATTTTGCGAGTACGATCACTAGTTAAATCTCCTATCTGATCTAGCTAGAGACGATAAGGTCTATTTGATTGCTTTCTCTAGGAACTAGCGTTATATAGCCTGACGTTAACCCGATCTCTTACTTCCGCCATATTTTCCGAGATAGTTTTATCCGCCGGGGGTTTAATATATGGATGTTAACGTTGGGTACAAAAGATGATTGAAAGAGACTAAAGAGTCAACTTAATATAGCTATTAGATCTAAGTATTATTGGTTAAACGTTGACCTGAGTGGTATATCCAGTACAATCGACAGTGTGGAAACGATGGAGGATTATCGAAACTTGATCTTGAGTTAATTAGAAAGTTCTCGTAAAGCACAAGATACTGTCATAACTCTCCTAGTCTCAAGATTCTATTTTGAACTAAAAGAACTATTCTAAAACATTGCAGCCTCTTTTTGATATCGCGACTTTATCTGCTGTAAAGGTTCTACTAGGAATCTTATCACGGCTTTTAACCAACTTTACCCCGAAGGGTTGACTTATATATCTAGTAATAATATGATAGAAGATTTTAATAGCGTGGATGCGTTTTGTAAATCGTGTGGTAGCTATATTCGCCCGTTATCGTTTCTAGCCCACCATATTGACCATCCAGTGGATCTGTGTTTATAAGTATCGTCAACTAGATGTTAGAGGTTGAGCGGCTTTCTAGAAAGTCTGGCTGTCTTTATTACTAAATAAGGATTGATATCTTCTTTTGATCATAGCAATCACGGACTTCCCAGTTGTATCATATATAGTAGCTGCAATGTTGCGAATAGATTATTACAAAATATGACTAAGCAGTGTAAGTATAAATTATTAATATCGATAAGGGTGTCTAAAAAGGTCTATTTTACCTTAGAATAGAAGACTTAGCCAAATAGATTATATTATATTAGTATAGCCTTGAATCTATACTATAAAGTATAGCTACAAACACTTTTTTATCCTTTACATTCAAAACTCTTTTTACTAGGACACATTCTAAATATCCTCAAACTGAGAATGGGAGATCTCGATCCCAATAGACTTGTTTGAAAGTAGTTGAAACAGAGATCAACTATCTTTAAATCTAAGACACAAGATCTAGTAAATTTGTGTAAAGTAGATGTATATCTTATTATATACTTTTTACGAGAGAGATATGTGTATAATTCTAACGGGAGCTTATCGTGCGTGGCCTTCGTCTAATCAAGATCTGGTACTTTTTAAAGCCTTCTCTAACTTTAGTTAATCAAGCTAATCTCGCCACTAGTAAAACCTATATCCTGATCTTATCTAAGACTTCCTAGCTTTAGAGTATCCTTGGATTTCTGAATCCTATCTCTGTAATCTTTGTATCTCTCTAGAATCAGAAATCTCGACCCTATTTATTAAGGATGATTCATAGTTAGACCTTATACTAGACTACTTTATAAATCGGTGAAGATTACTTAGTGAAGCTCTAGCTGTTGAGAAGTAGTTGTAGAAGCTCCTTGTATAGTGTGTCAAATTATATCGGGAATATCATAATTGATCAATAACAAGAGAACTTATAAATTATTATTCTTACAGTAATATTCAAGATTAGTTTTTAAATCTGTGTTAGGATATCTATCTGCTAGCTTGGCATTAGTCGATGTACCTCTGATGAGCTCGTTTAAATTACAGTAATATTACCTCTGGGCAGTCAAAGAATATTATTGTCGTTTGTTACCATACCAATCACCCACCTACGTCGTGAAATAACAGTGCAATCTTTTCTAACTACATTCTTATAATAAAATACAGCTTTTGACGTTTATATTTCACGAGTGTATTGATGACAAGGTTCATAGATCATACTATATAGCATCGATTGAGTCTACCCTATTGATATTTTCTTTGATCTTATTACTAACCTAATTTGGAACATATTATGGGGAGAGTGATTAGTTTATCCACTAAAGAAAGAAATGATGAGCTTCTTAGAAAAAGGAGAGCAGCCTGAAAGGCCTAAAAACGAAGCACCAGCCATTAAAGTTAATAAGAATCCTACGCCTTGTGTGTACCTTACGTATGCAAGGGCCTCCTTCTTTAAGAAGAGCAAGGGGGACTTTAGAGTTCATATATCCCTATTTTAGTCTCTCATTCCTCGTCTATATTACAATTCTTAGTCATATTTTTGCAACTCCGCTAAATTGATTAATATATTTAAAGGTTTGGGATGACTGGAGACTGAGGTTACTCTGTGATCATGAATAGTCGAAAATAGGGGTATAAATTGGCCAATAACCCGACAAATAATGAACTAAAGCTAATTGATATTAGATTGAACTGTTGCAAATAACCGTGGGTAATCTGAACTTTTTAAAAATAGGTGTATTGCCTCCAGACAAACGATATACTCCGTGTGACTTTTTTTAACCACAGAAGAACCTCAGTCTCCAGTTATTCAAAACCTCTAAACGCCTTAATCAAATTGACTGAATTCGCGCGAATGGAGTTGGCGATCACATCGTACTACCACAATTAGTAGTTTGTGGAGACTAATCCATTAAGAAAAGTTCTATCCTTGAAGGTATTAGCGGCATACCTTTCCTCAATAGGATAGCCTTTATACTAGATTTGTAACAGAGATCATCCTTCGACACAAGCCCACGGATATCAGAATCATAGCAACTATTATACCGCACTTATCTAGGAATGAGGAAGACAAATGTTATTTAAATACTTATCGCCACGTTTTTTAAAGCTAGGAGAAGCTATCAAGTATTATCAAGTAGACGGCGAAGCTTATAGGGGTTCGTGATGTTGATACATAGACGGAGGGCATAGTATTTATAGTGGACGTTCTTAGGCTTGAGCTAGTTGGGAATACAAGTCTCCACCTAACCATTGTTAACTTTCCTAGACTAATCTTAATCGCGGAGTATAAAGAAGATATAAAGATAGTTGAGAACTTAGTAGACTTCTATCTGCAATATTCTCGTACTATTATATAGACTTCGGCACAACCCACTCTAACCCGGACCCAACCCAACCCAACCCAACCCAAAATGGGTTTTGGGTCCATTGCTTCGACCCAACGATGGGTTTTGGGTTATAGCTCATAACCCAAAACCCATTGGGTAACCCATTGGGGCCCCAATATAGTGTAAACCAGACAAACAGACTTCTAGCGTATAACTGCATAATTAATGCATTTTTTGCTTGTAATATTGAGTATTTTACTTACAGCGCTCTTCTAGAAAAAATGGAGAATAAATCAAATAATTGAACCAGGATGTATTTCTCTAATATTGCTCAAAATCATCATCTGCCCTGCTCTTACGCTTCCTCCCTGAGGCCCGTCTCTGAGTTGCAGTCTCTGGTAACTCTGGCTCTGTCACCTCTATATCTATATCTATTAAATGAGGAGATGTCTCTCGCAGTCTATTATCTACTCCTTCTTCCTCTTCATTATCACTAATCAGGTCAAGCTCAGCATCCTCTATATATTCATCGTTCTGCTCCTTCGCTGACTCAATCTCAGCTAGTGTAAAGAACTGCTCAAGCTGCTTTGCCTCAGCATCCTTAATATTGAATCTTGTTGCACATAGAAACAACATAAGCTCCTCGATTGTTTCGGACTTCAGACGACCACGGCGGTAGTGACAAACATCCCGAGCAGTATTGAAGAGCCGTTCGACACCAGCACCAGTTGCTGGAATAGAGAGAATATCGCGAGCAAGTAACGCGATCGCAGGGAAACGAGATTGGTTCTCACGCCAGAATTGAAGAGGTTCAATATCAATTAGATCTAGTAGTATAAATATATTAGTATTATCCTATATAGGGAAGAAATAGATCATAAACATACCACTATCGAGATATTGAGTCATCTCATCACCAGCTGGTTTTGCGGATATCTTGTTACTCTTTAGCATCATGTTCAGTCTAGAACTAGATGATGCTATTGTTGGAGTATTAGTCGATCCTTGATTTATTGTAAGGCGCTCTTGATACGGAATCAATAATTCCTGGAATGATTTCCGGTAGGTATCACGCCAGTGAGGCTCCCAATTATCAGATTGAAAGAACTGAAATCTGCTGTCAGGTGCCAGCATTGTCCCAACTGCATAGATATGTCCTTTGAGATTGTCGGTTTGAGAGTAGTACTCATCAAGTTTCAAGCGACCAGCTATGAGTGCTTTGAGCATGTCTGATTTCCATGGAACACGCTTGCGTTTAAGCAGCGCCTCTGCTTCAAAAAAGTGATCAAAGAGGGCATTGTAAATCTTAAAGACAAGATGTGTGGTGACCTCCTTTGTCTTCGAGAGCTCTGTTGTGTAGTCAAAGAATGGCCGAGTGATTTGTAGAAGATAGTCAATTTGACGCCATTCTTGAGTATCAAGCAACATCTCCTCACAGTCATACTCCTCACAGAAGGGCTGGAAGAAACTACGTAGTCTCTTTGCACGACGAAGCATCAAGAAGGTAGAATTCCACCGAGTCCTTACGTCCTGGATTGGAACAAGCTGGGATCCCTTTTCTTGAAGTCGGAGAAAGGCCGCCTGGCGTTGCGGACTTGCATGGATATACACAGCAAGATAACGGACCTTGTTTAAGGTGTATGAGATCCTCTGTGTCTGGTGCTGAGCATTTGCCTTTGCTGCAGATGACTTCTGGTCAGTCCACTTTGTTTCTGCATTCTCATTTAGAGGGATGGCCTTTAAACGATCAAGGAGCTGGTTCAAACAAAGCTGGATAACATGGGCAAGACAGGGTATTCGGATTACTGTCACATCGCTAGAGAGCGCCTGCTGAATAGCCTCAACCATTGTCTTGTTGTTGGTTGCATTATCAGTTGTGACTCCAAATACCCGATCCTGGATCTTGTGCTCAACTAGAGTTTCAAGGAGTACACCACTTAAATTTAAACCGGTATGGGAGCCATAAAGTGGTTTAAATCCAAGTAGAACCTCTTGGTATACCCAGTTACTGTCAACAAAATAGCCAGTGATAGCCATGAACGCCTGGTTATATGGAGAAGTCCAGCAATCTAATGCGATCGAGATTTTTGCGTCGTTGGGTAGTGTTTGGAGGATAGATTTCTGTGGTTCTATGATCATATCACGTAAACGACGACGTATTGTGGTAGCAGAGGGTATCGGAGGGAGAGATGGTGCAGAGCGGGCTAATCGGAATAGCTTGTGAAATGTTGGATGTTCGATGAGGTGGAATGGAAGTCGATTGAGGGTGAGAAATTGGAGAAGATGCTCTTCCCATGCCGATTGTGAAAAAGGAGCCTCTGGTAAGCCGTGATCCTATGTATCCAGGAGTGTTAGGGAAATCGGATAACTAAATAAAGAGGTAAGGAGATACTACTTTTTGAAGGAACTGGGTAATTTCTCCTTTACCTCCCTGTTGAGCTTTGCGACAGCCTGCTGTCTTTAAATGCTTCAACATTGTTGATGTACCATGATAGCCCTTTCCGCTAGGTGATGGAGAATGGGGATGCTCTAGGATCTTTGAGCAGCGCTTACACATCACCTTTGGCGCACCATCTTTGGTATAGGCAACTTGGTCGAAGTTGCTCCATATGTTTGAATTGCGATTTGAATCCCAGGAAATCTTGCTTTTCTGCCCATAGTCGGTTTGTAGCCACCACTCAACCCATTCTTCATATG